TATATATATATATATAGGCCTATATGCCCTTATGCAACCTTGTGCAACTCCCAGGATTCTTGCAATAAAATATTTCCCTTAGCTTTCAAGTATTCTAAAACTGCAAACCAAATTGATAATTTTTCTTGCTGGGTTCACATCTTCAGGTGTTCCTTCTGGCCCCGGGCCCCACCGAGAGTCACTGCAGTGAGCTATTTATGGTCTCCACAGGGGCAAGGTTCCGCCTCTCCGGAGACATTTTCATACAGCCTACAATCTTAAACTCTCCCCTTCCTCTCTCCTCTCTCCTCTTCACTACTCCTGTCGAGGATGTTTTCCACCTATCTTGGGTTGGGGTGGTGGGGGGGACTCCTCCTCTGCTCCTATTGGCTCTGTGTGAGCCTATGCCGCGTTGACGTCAGCCCCCTGCGGCGCTGAATGGACCGAACAGCCTGTCTGCTCCATACTCCAAAACAGCTCGGCAAGGCTCGGCACGGCGCAGCACGGGTCGGGCTTCACCCTGGGAATAGAGAAATACCTGGAAAAGGAAGGTTACAGGAAACAGGCCTCAACAACTGCTTCGTGTTTTTGATTTTTTTGCACAAAAGCAAGGACGGGGGGAGTGCGCCCACCGCGTTGCGGGTGTATGTGCGTGCGTTTGGATCACGATGATGCAAAGTGCGGCGGTCCTACAGACAGAGAGTCCTGTAAAGAGTTTACCGGAGATTCTCGGTGTGCCACTGCAGCGTAAGACATTTTCCCATCTTCTCATCCTTGTTCTGTTGGTTACCAGTCTGAGGACAGGTTGGTGAGTGCAACCTCTGCTGCGGGGTTTAGCCATTAAAGACAGGGCTGACTTACAGCCAGATAATAAGGCAAGGAGACTGGAGCCCTATAGGCCAGTGATGTGTCATGCTAATAACAAAATGCAAAAGTACGATTTAAATGGCATCAGTTCACTTTTAAACAATTCATAGCTATTTAGGGAAATTTCTGAAAAAGGTGTCAATGCAGTTTCTTGCTTCTTTAAATTGTTAATGATCATTTCTGTTCTGGAGCAATGATTTGGTGTCAGAAAGTGCTGCATCCCCAGTGCAGTGCTGCTGGACTCACACTCTGCTTCCTTCCAACGCTGTTAATTTGTAAACGAGCCTGCATGGTCAAGGGATCAGACGCGATTGTCATCGTTGCCCATCAGACAAACACGCACTGGCTTTGACTGACATCCGTTACTGAACCTAATGTGCCTTAGACGTCTTATTCAAAAGGCCCGGGCACTGGGTGAAAATGCCAGAACAATTACTTTACTGCTTTAGAACAATTATTTATACGTCTTGCAACACTTCCTAGATTTCATCATCAAAGGGAAGAAAAGTATATATATATATTTATCAGTTGCTTCTATAACCTGCAGGGCCTTTCATAATCTGATCATGGAAATACTGAAGTGCCACTGGACCCGTTTCTGCTCTGACCTAATTATTCAGGGACGAGTTAGGAAAATATACTCCCCATCTAAAGGGGGGAAAAAATCATATCATCATCATCAACAACAACAAAATTATGATAATATTTTTTTTTATTATTACTGCCGCTTAATCTGGTCCAAAAATATTACAAAGTAAATTTTAAATGTAAAATTCATGAAATATTCAAAAACAGGTCTACAAATAGATCTTGTGCGATTGATATAAAATCTATCTATCTATCTATCTATCTATCTATCTATCTATCTATCTATCTATCTATCTATCTATCTATCTATCTATCTA